CACAACCACCCGCCATATTGGGCAAATATTTATTCCTGTATTTAATATTAAATAATTATGTTTCTGTTCGAAATTACAGATATAAAGTGATGAACATTAGTGTAATTGTGTCTAAATATAGGATTTGTGGAAGATTTAACGCAGATAAGTTCAGTTTTCCATCTTAAAAATCTAGACATACTTTTGATCATATTATAATATAAATCAAATACGAAGCCCGTAGAAACTGCGTAACTACTTTGCACGATAATCACAATAAAATTTGCTGCGCAAGCAATTCAATAGTTCTATATCACAGTGTAGAAGTTTATCACATACCTGTGTATGAAATTCACAATGGGAGATATGTGAGTAAACAAGATGACTGTAATGTGTTAATTATGTATTCTTCACTTCGTCTATACAATACATAAAAAATAGTTTGGTTGCAGTAACGTAGAATCACGTAACAGAATAGTTGTATAGTTGACAAAAACTGAATCTTGCACTCACGCAGATGCTCTGTAGCGGCTGCAAGAGGCTTACACTTTTGTTGTATAACTGTTACCTGCAGCCCATGCACAACCTCTTAAATGACTGAAGTGTCCTATTAGGTGTGCCCATTCCGCTTGTATAGCTGTTCTAAGAGGGTTTTGCCAATGTTCTTACAGAATACAATGCTGTGTAAGGAATACTGTATAATCATTCTTGCAACTCGAATAGGAGTGATAATTGTTAGTTGGGTATGGTTTACTTTAATGTTTAGTTCGGTCTTCACCATTTGGATTTCTTGAAGGTTCGCTAATACGAGTATGTCTAACTTATCAAGAAGCTGAATTCCAAAGTTCCATCTCTTCTAGAAGAAAATGTCTCAAAGATGTCTGTTTTATATCGTGTCGGGAGGTCGTAACACGTCGCGCTAAAGTTATCTTCATCTTTTTAATGTCTCATGCATTCAGACTTTATTTGTGGACATCTTTGAGACCTTCAATGCTATCTGGGAATACTTCATAATGCTTTCTTTAAGTTTCTGCTACTTAAATAAGCCTGATGAGCAAATCCGGCAACAGTATGTACGGATCGGTTGTAACGGGTTCGTGCACTACACATCACTACTATGTGCATTAAATCATTCAATTTTATTAGCTAAATTTAGGTATTACAGTTTTTCTCACTCTCCAATTGGTATGATCAATAACTTCAAAAGAAACAGATCTCAGAAAGTTGTTATTAATATGAAATCATCACCAAAAGCTGTAATATCCTCGGATGTGCCCCAAAAAACAGTGCATGACCACTCCTTTTTATTCTCTGCCTAGCTGTTCTGGAAAAAGTGGTAAAATATTGCAATATGCAATACTTTGCCAATCATTCTCAATTTTACGATAATTTCAATAATGATAAAATTATAGTTGCAGAATCTCAAATAAATGAGGATTTAAAGGGCATTGATAATTACGCAAAAGGTAATAGCCTTCGTAAAAAAATTGAGGAAGAGTGTCTGCGAAAGGTTGGGAAATCTCGGATCTGGAAATACTACAGACCAAAATATGTAAATTGACTTAAACATACCTCAGTCCCAAAGTTAACAGTTTGCGAGATACAGGGTGCCAAAGTTACAATTTTATGTTCTATTTTTCCTTATTGCTTGAGAAGTATTTCATATTTTGGCATAAAAAATGGTGTCGGGAGGTTTACTAGTATGAAAAACAAGAATCCGTTATTTTTTATGATCAAACTTCTTACAGCACTATTTCGGTAAATAACTTATCATAACTTCTTGGTGGTACCCGGTATATAACAACTGACTGAAAAATATTATTTTCTCGTATCTCCACAACAAAAAGGTTTACTTATTAGAAGTGGCTCAAGCTAATAGTTTTCAAGATATTTGTTTTTAAAAATTCCAATGCATTATTTGTACCATGATGATAACACGTTTTTATAACATAATAATCAAATTGCTTTGGATAATATCTGAGTAGCGTTGAAATGGTTTCTAATGTTTGTCATACTATTGCTTCAAACTTCATGAATAATTTTAAGTTGACAAGAAGTCGTTAAACATCATGGAGTATACGTTTGATGAATATTCTGATATGCACTTAATGTACGGATTGGCAAGATGTAATGCTTTAAAAGCACGAAGATTGTACGCTGACAGATTCCCTTATAGACACCTGCATAATTGAAAGACTTTCCAAGGAATCGATCAGCGGTTACGAGGAACTGGTAAGAAATGATTATAGCGTTATTTTGAGCCGTAAAAACCTTTAATTTGGATTTTAGTTAGCTTTGCTCAAAGTAAGGGCCGACATAGTGGAGCTCCTAGAACTGCACGTACAGTTAAAGTTGAAGAAATTGTTTCAGATGGTGTATTTGCAAATCCTACACTTGGGAATCTAGCTCGAGAATTTCAAGTTTCCACAATGGTTTTACTTCGTTAATATTATTTTCGGACGAAGCAGGATTTGGAAGGGATGGGCCCATTAACTCGCATAATCTTCACATTTATGCAGACGAAAATCCTCATGCAATAATACAAACCCGCCACCAAATACAATTTCGAATTAATTTATGGACAGAAATAATTGAAGAATATTTAATAGGACCCGTTGAATTACAACCTAGACCAAATGGCCAAAGGCAATTACAATTTTTTTAAGATCTGCTGGAAGATCTTCCATTACAAATACACATGAATATGTGGTTTATGCACGACGGCGCTCCACCTCATTTTCGTATATTAGTTAGAGAGCACCTAAATAGAGTTTATCCAGACCAGTGGAACGGCCGATCAGGACCTGTATCGTGGCCGGCTAGATCACCAGGTTTAAATCCTATGGATTTCTTCTGGGGTGATTTAAAACGACGCGTTCACAACACGCCAGTGGCAACTGTAGATGATCTTCGACAAAGAATTTTTCACCATAGCCAGGAAATGAAAAATAACATCCGAATGCTTTGAAAAGTGCAGCAAGGATTAGTTCGTCGAGCTCGAGAGTGTGTTAGGTAAGGTGGTGTTCATTTTGGACGATTTTTGTAGTTATTATTTCTGTTTTTTAATATTGTTGCCACCCTCATTTGTTATTGTTAAATACCATAGCAACGCTACTCAGATATTATCCAAAGCAACTTGATTATTTTGTTATAAAAAGGTTTTATCATCATGGTAGGTCAATTCACATATTGCAGTCTGTGGTATCTCCAGTTTCGAGATTTCCCAACCTTTTGCAGACGTATATTAACAGATATACAAGCATATCTCTGGATTGGGAAATTATTCAACAGCATAAATCAGTAAAAATTAAGGTGGTCTTCTTGACGAGTGTCTAAATTTCATTACACATGTGAATCATATTACTGAAAATTGTACTTCGCCAGTTATACCTCAATAAATAAGTTTTAGACTACAAAATTAAGAAAATTCTATGCGAATCATTGATGGTTTCAACAATTCCATACTGCGACATTGTTTACCATTCATTTTTTGATTCGGTATCTATAAAACGCTTGCAAAAAGTTCAACATTCCTTAATGCTAAGTTGGGTCTTCAGAATTTGGATTTCTCGTATTGTCACTAATATGTCTAAGTTATTAAGAAGCTGATTTTTCAAATTCCATCTGTTCTAAATAACGTAATAGAACGTCTTAAAGATGTTTGTCTTATGTCTCACTTAAGTTATCTTCGTCTTTATAATCTCTCAGGCATTCAGACATGAATAATGCATAAGATGAACGTCTTTGAGACCTTCTGCGCTATCTGGGAATACTACCTAATACTTTCAGTTCCCACCACTTTAAATAAGCCTGACGAGCAAATCTGGCATCAATGCAAACGGATCCCTTGAAACGAGTTCGTGAACAACACATCGCTACTATTTGTCATTCTGATCTAGTTACGAAATGCAAATTGAAATAAATATCGTGAAAATCGTATTAATTAACATAAATTATCTCTTACATTAATTCAGCTACCGAACTTCAAAGATCATCCACAACTGAACAAGCATAGTATATCCACTCGAATACACTCCAATGGAGCTCGCTACAAGTTGTAAGTTGCAACATTAATACAACAGAGCAACTTCATACTTACCGTTCTGCGCTTCTCGAAAGCTGATACCTACTACCAGTCTAACTACAAGAAAGATTCTTCTCGCCAAACTTGCCTCGGCTTCATTTTAGCTGCAGCTGCAGCGTAGCGAAACTTACCTGAAATAAAACAAATATTTTAGTTGGAGGTATTTCGAGAGATACACGAGTAGGGGCTTTTTATGGATTTAACGAAGCGACAAACTTTCGCAGTTTTAAGGTTCATTACATGATGTTCTAGTTTAAGTAGTAGAAGCGCTATTGTTTTACACTCTACGTAACCTTCGGACTGCATCATCGTATTGGAACTAATACAAATTAAAAAATGACGTCAAGTAGGTTGACTCTGCAATGCCATCATCAGTTCATCAAGGATTATGTCCAGCACAAGTTTGACCCTCTGAGAAAAAAGTTAGCTGCGGACATGCATAACAGAGACATCAAGTAAGTGAAATGGATTCGCACATTAATTTAGTCCATAGACATTTTTTTGCTGCCCTTCCGGTAGTCGACTTGGCAACGTAATCTCTTCCCGATACCTCAAGTCAAGTCATCGTTGGTTGTCAGACTACTAGACCAATAGACCAATTTTGTTGTTGTTATTTATAAATACGAGTCCTACGGAATTGAAGAATTTCAAGTAGTTGCGTTAAATTATCGTCGCATTACCAACAAGTGCCAAGACCTGCATTTTGCTTCGTTGCTGAGGTGTCATCTTCGGAAGAAACCCTAAAATAACGTCAAAAAAAAAAAAAGACGAAATGTCATCTTGCAGAATAGGTAGTCTTAAGGTGCAGTTTCGTTGCGACGTCCCGCCGCCGCGGTCGACCGCAACTGCTAGCCGTTGCGGCTGACCGTTGCGGCCAAGCGATTTCGTTGCAGCGTCTAAATTTCGGCAGTCAGGGGTCGTGCTCTAAATTGTGAACATGGATTCAAAAAATCTCGCCAAAATAATTTTACTTGAGGACGAAGAAGAAGATGAAGAAGTGATATTATGGTGGTCTAGTCAACGAGAAGATTTTGACAGATTGTACCAATCTCGCAAGGAAGAGGGATATTTTAAAATTCTAATGAAGAATCACCTGGATACAAACGAACAAACATTTCGTGAATTTTTTCGTTTAAATAAGGAACAGTTCCAGTTTGTTCTGAATATAGTATCGACAGATTTAAAGAAAAAATCCACAAATACCGTTCACGACCCTATATCTCCGGAAGAAAAGTTGGCATTGGCGTTAAGGTAAGAAAAAACAAAGTTTTAAAGACTTTATATTATTAAGAAACTCCAAACGCTTAAACAATGAACATGAAAAGTAAACGTTACTGGTTAGTCCAGCCGTATCTAATATTTTCCAAACTGTACTGCATATCAGATGAATTATATACAGATACGGACGTTAATGGTGTTAATACTACATTTTCCTGAGAACTTGGAGTGCTGGAAACAGTTGAAACCGACGTTAAAGGCGCTAATAAATTCTGTTGTGATCTTGAAGTACAGGTACGTGTTGGTTCGTTCGTATGTAATTCCGGTGACGCCTGTAATTCGGTAACTAATGTCAAAATTCCCAGTTTAGCTTTCGCTATTTGATGAGGAGGCAATTTTTTAACAGTCATCGCTATACTTTTGAAAAATAAATCAATCTCATCATCTTCGGGTTTTTGGGTTAAAGCAGACAACATTTGCATCCTTTGTTTGGATCTTTCTTCAACATTCTCCAAAAAGAGATTTTTGCGTTGGCTTCGTTTTGAAGAAGTTGAACCTGCATAGCTGTCTGGGGTACTAGAACGTGATTTGTCGATGGCATTCTGACGCAGTTTTTTCTCCTGCCTCGGATAATCGGAAGGTGGCGGTGAAGACAGGTCATCATCAACTAGTGCATTATCCACATCGAGAGAAGTGTCCACCTCTTCTTCACTAAGTTCCCTATCTATATTTTCCTCAATGCCGGTGGCAGCTTCATTGACATTACTGATGGTTCTAAAATTAAAGATCGTGAACTCGGAACTCTATAAAAAAATACCAAGTAAACTTACTGTCGTTCGGATTTCACGTTATCTAGAAACTTCAGATATTCAAATAACGCCCATTTCGGCGGTTTCGCTGATGCTGCACTCCCTGTTCCTATCTTTTGCTTCCTTTTGTGTTTAAGAAAGTTATCTCGAATGTTTTTCCATCGAGATTTGCATTCATCAGCTGGAAACAGAAATTTGTGAATTTGTGAAAATGTTTGCGTATAAATTTCTTTTTCAGGTTTTTAGCCACCGGAGAGACCTTCAAGTCACTCTCGTTTGCTTTCCGTATTTCACCGAGCTACATCTCCGTACTTATTCAAGAAACATTAGAAGTACTCAGTAAACATTTGGTCCCAATATTTTTGCCCCCACCAAATGCAACCGATTTGAAGAAAAATGCAACGGAATTTTGGAGCAAATGGAATTTTCCCAACTGTGTTGGTGCTGTTGACGGAAAACATATTCGAATTTTTTGTCCACAAAAAAGCGGTTCACTATTTTTTAATTATAAAGAATATTTTTCTATGGTCTTGCTTGGAGTAGTAGATGCAAATTGTAAATTTGTATTTGTTGACGTCGGCGCGTATGGAAAGGAAGGGGATAGTAGCATATTTATGAAATCTGACATGGGAAAACAAATATATTCTGGTCAGTTGTTTGAACCAGGTGTAAATCTTCCAGGTTCAAATAGACTATTGCCATACGTTATTGTCGGTGATGAAGCGTTCCGATTACATCCCCATGTGATGAAACCGTATAGCAAACAAGCGGCTAAAGGCGATAAAGAGAAAACTGTTTTCAATTATAGATTGAGTAGAGCCAGAAGAGTGTCTGAAAATGCCTTTGGATTGTTGTGTCAGATTTTTCGAATTTACTACACTCCGATTGCCATTAAGCCAGAAACGTGTGATAAACTCATACTTGTAACTTGTTGCTTGCACAATCTTCTGAGAGATGCATTTTTGGAAAAAAATAATCAGCCTTATTACAACTACGATGTAAGTTTGAATCTACCAGATAATATAACCCCGTTGAGAAATGCTGGAGGATTTGCAAATGCGGATGGTTTTGCAATAAGAGACGAATTCGCGAATTTTTTCGTCCAAGAAGGGGCTTTAAATTGGCAGGACGACCGCATATTTAGACTAAGCAGTTAATTTTTTATGTTACAATTCACTATATTGTTGGTAGAAGCACACTGTGTACAATTTTAAACTGTACTGTAGGTTGTGTACACTTGAAATTAATAAAAAATAGCATATAGGTACTTACGACGTTTTCCTAACGCTGAAGCGATGTCATTCCAACAATTTTCACGGATCTGAAAATCTTTAAAGTCTTTGTGCTCGTGATCATACAAGCACGGATATTGCTCCACCGTGCGTATTAAAATCTCATCTGCAGAAGCCAATTCTCTTTTTCGGGACATTTTTGAAACCAAAATGATCGGCGGCCCCGTCTGGACTGCTCCTTGTAGCAGTCAAGACGCAGCCGTCGACGGCTGAACGCCTAGCCGACAGGTCGAGACGTGTCAACGAAAATGCGTCGATTTGAAAACAATGATATCAGTGCATTGCGGCGGGCAGTTGCGGTCGACCGCGGCGGCGGGACGTCGCAACGAAATTGCACCTTTAAGTGTGCTAGTAGTTCATTCCACGTTTGCCCGGTACGATCGCCGTTCGCTGATGTTTAAGCGACATGTACAGTTACAAGATGAGTTTATCACAAATGTACAGCTTGTGCTAAGTAAGAATCTTGCAGAAAAACCTACGTTATGTTACGAAACACGAAGAAATGTCACTTATCAAGATACGTAATACCCGTGCCGGTATACTAAAATAACACTTGCTAAGGCCGGTAAATGGGCAAATTATTTTAAGGTCCTATATACATGCTTGTCAAAAGCTGGAGTAGCCAAATAAGTCTGTCGTTTTCAACACCATTTATGGAATTCTTTTTTTGAAACTAAAATTTGGCAATGTCAATGTTTAAAATTTTGGATTCAGAATTGAAAATTTGATTTACTTGTATAACAAAAAATGATCGAGGACAAGAGACGAAACGTCCATTGAAATGCTTGCGGTCTTACGTTTTTATGCCTTGAGAAATGGTATACAGAAATATTATACTTAGCATCAGTTATTGTACATTTTTAAGTGAAGTCTGTTATTGAAAACCGTGCATAAAAATAGTATTTTAAAGACTATTCGACTAGGACGCCTGGAATGACCTTCATAAGCCGCGTACAGACCAAGATTCCAACGCAAGCCAAGGCACATGTGGTTACAGATTTGGATGTGCTCGAATCGGTGTTTACGGTGCGAGCCAACATAAGCTAACGGTTTTCAAGGTCGGCGTTGGCGCTCGATTGCGTTCGCTCCTTGATCGGTACATCAAAGGGAGGTTTGATTTGGTCTGGACAGGATTTGTGCAGATTCTAGTCTTTTGTCTGCAGTCGATAAGAGGAGACTTGTCGCACAACAAACGCCAACGTCACATGTGCTTGCATTCGTTTGCTCGGCGATGGATTTTCGGTCTGTACGCGGCTTAAGGATGGTCGATGCATTATAAATATACAGGATGTTCCTTAATGATAAGCGAATATTTAAGGATGTGAATCTACATGAAAAATTACTGTTAGTTTGCATTATAAACTATGGTCCAAAAATGTTTCATTACAGAAACTCGGGTTCTTTGCCAAATAAAAATTATTTTTTAGTTCTCGTTCAGTTTAAAATAAATGATCTTTCTTGAATTATTTTTCTCTGATGCGCCATTTTTGAGTAAAAAAAAATAAAAACCGTTCTATTGTCCGAGAAAATTAATGTAATAATTGAAGAATGCAATTTAGCAATAGTTACCTAGTTGCTCTGGAATATGTCACTCTGTTTTTCAAACCTGTCCGCTGTGACATCTTTTTCATTATTTAGTTTTTACAATCTTGTTAATAATGATGAATTATTCAAATGCAGAGATGGCGGAAATGCATTACGCATATGGCCTTGCCGACGATAATGGTGAGCAAGCCAGACGGATTTATCACCAGAGATATCCCGATCGTGCTTTGCCAAATAGTCGAACCTTTTGTAATATTCATCGTCGTCTTGTTGAAACTGGTTCTGTCTGAAAAGGAACATCTGAAGGTAGACCTCTAAGTGTGAGAACACCTGAAATTGAGGAAGCAGTGCTGCACGAAGACGAAGAACATCCTGAATCGAGTACCAGGAAGATCGCTAGATACTTAAATATTTGCCATCAAATTGTTTGGAGAATTTTAGAGAATTTTCTGTTATATCCTTACCATACTTCAAGAGTACAGGCATTACTTCGCATTGATTTTCTAAAGCGTGTGACCTTTTGTCAGTGGTATCTTCAAAAAGTTACACAAAATCCGCAATTTGAATCTATGATTCTGTTCACGGACGAAGCTAATTTTTCTCGAAATGCCATTCAGAGTTTCCACAATGATCATTTGTGGGCACAAGAAAATCCCTACGCCGTAACCGAAACCCATTTCCAACACCAATTTTCGGTTAACGTATGAGCAGGAATTATTGGCAACCACTTTATTGGCCCATTCCTCTTGCCGGGACGACTTGAATCACCTCAATTTTCATCAACAACAGTTGCCTTTGCTGCTTGATGATGTTCCGTTAGTAATAAGAAACAATATGTGGTACATGCATGATGGTGCACCAGTGCATTTCAGTGTAGCGGTTTGTAATTATTTACAAACTGTTTATCATATAAAAATGCTATTTATTTATTTATTTATTTATTTATTTATTTATTTATTTATACATTATTGCCCAACAGAACTATTCCAATTAAAGGACAATATCATGGTAACTTTACTTATAATTCATACATGTAATGTATACCTAAAACTAATTTAAAAAAATAGAACTAGCTATTATAATAGTACCTGAAATTCGACACGATCTTACTGATACAATCAAAATTAATGTCAGAACTGTCTGCTATGGAATTATAATTGTTGCATATAGAATGTAGCGGAGAATAAAATAATACATTTGTACGGGAGGTACTGCAGTAGAAAGTTAGAGTTCTTCTCGTATTTAACCGAGGAATATAGAAATTTAACCTCTGGAGAAGTTCTGGTGCATCCACTCTGTCGTGCAAAAGCTTATGAAGGAATGATAGGCCAGCAGTGGAACGTCTTAACTGTAGAGACTCTAGTTCAAAACGACGCAGCAGAACAAATTGA